GTAACTGCAGGGCGGCAGGTAACTGCAGGGCGGCAGGTAACTGCAGGGCGGCAGGTAACTGCAGGGCGGCAGGTAACTGCAGGGCGGCAGGTAACTGCAGGCTGGCAGGTAACTGCAGGGCGGCAGGTAACTGCAGGGAGGCAGGTAACTGCAGGGAGGCAGATAACTGCAGGCTGTCAGGTAACTGCAGGCTGGCAGGTAACTGCAGGGCGGCAGGTAACTGCAGGGAGGCAGGTAACTGCAGGGAGGCAGATAACTGCAGGCTGTCAGGTAACTGCAGGGAGGCAGGTGCTTGGGTTGCTGAGTCTGTCTCCGGCTTTTATGCCAGTGCATGTGTGCTTGTGATAGACACACTGAGGCCGATTCATCTGATAATATTTAAAATCCAGACAAGCTTTGTTACTTTTCATCTAAGATGACGGCATCAGAGAATACCTTTAATTTAAAATGGAACATTACCAAGAATAATTTCAAGACTTTATGGTAGAAAATGAATTAAGAAGCCTGAAGCTCGTAATATTTATTTGTTTTCATCTTATCTTTACTGGTCAAAACCGTAGGACTGATTTTTTTTTTTTGTTTTAATATCTCAGAGAAATTCATTTATTTGCCTTGATAGTGGAAAAAGGTCGAAGAGAGAGAAATCGATCCGAAACGGAACCCAAATAAATCCCTTTTAAGAAGAACACTCAATTCTGTATTATTATTTGCGTCCCTCGATACTCATCTTTTTATGTTTGTGTTCCCGTGGGACGAAAGTGTTTCTTGGAATGAGCTGTGCCCTTATGCAGTAGTGCATCCATATGTTTCAGCCAGTAGGAATGTGGGACCATGTTCTGCTGACATCACTATGGATGAGGTACTTTCTTCCCAATACAGCTGATTGGTGTTTGTTATCATTGTTATTTTTTTACTTAGAGATTCACTACTGTGACTCATTATAAGCACCTACTGAAAGGGTCACGCCCGTAAGACCCTGTAAGGCAGTGGCCGATTGCCAAGGCATTTATAGTCGATCAAGGTGCAATTTCCAAACCCCTCTATTGGCAAAATATACCGAGGGGGGGGCTCCCTCTGCTCAGCACATATAGCGCAGTGATTCAGGAGCTGGCCAGAGTATTTTATTTGTAAAAGCAGCTTGCCTTGTAAAAAAGGCTGGTTGCCGTAGATGAGACTGTCCATCTCCGGAGTTTGACTTTCAGGTTACATTGGACTCGCAGTCGCACGCTGCCGGTTCCGGTTGCCCGGGAAACGCCATCCCTATTCTGTCCTTCCGATTTTTGTGTGAACGCCAGTATCTGTTTAGTCCCTGTTGGTGTCATTTGTTTCTAACTATGGCTCTGTTGTATGTGAAGCCAGTTATACGCACTTTGGCAAAGTCACGCCCCCCCCCCCCCTTGCCGCAGGTTTGGACCCCCGTTCCTCATGCGCGAGGACCGCGGCGTGTCCTGGGAGCAGCTCCAGCAGACCATTCTCAGCCGGCTCTCGTACCTGATGATCCGTGGTGCCCAGACGCTGGTAGGCCGTCCCTCTGGCTTTCCTGCACACACTGACAGATTTTACTCTCAGCAGTTCTGTGCAGTATAATTTGGGTGTTGAGCTGTTTTGGGAACACCGGCCTGCAGTGACGAGTAGGCCTGTGGCGTGCTCGCTGCACCGGCCTGCAGTGACGAGTAGGCCTGTGGCGTGCTCGCTGCACCGGCCTGCAGTGACGAGTAGGACTGTGGCGTG